CTGATTCTTACTAATCAGATGGTCAGACAAAGTTCTTTAATCTCACAAACTGTGGTCTGCCCGTCAGATAGTCATCGACCCATGTGATGAGGGGAGCACTCACCTGCATGTTCTCCAGTTTGGCCTTCAGCAGTCCATGGGGCTGATATGCGAAATGCAGGGGGTCTTGCGATGCGCACACTAGTGGTCTGAGGTTTGCCAGGACCAGTCTCTCCATGACCTTCATGATGTGAGAGGTCAGTGCTACCGGCCTGTAGTCCTCCAGTGCCAAAGGACGTCCTTTTTTGGGCACTGGGACCAGGCAGGATGTTTTCCAGAGCGCTGGCACTCGCTGAAGGTGCAGACTGAGGTTGAAGAGGTGCTGGGAAAACTCCTGGCTGGAACATGCCTTCAGCACGCGAGGGCTGATGCGGTCCGGTCCAGCAGCTTTCCTCTGTTTGAGCCTCTCCAGCTCTCTCCTCACCTGGCTGGATGTGATGTGAAGTCCAGATTGGGGGGTGGGGTATGTGGCAGGGTCTGCGATGGGTGTCAGCAGTAGGTTTGGGGGTGGGGATGACAACGGTGATGCAGAGAGGTGTCTGCTGCAGGAGGTGGCAGGGGGCTGTGGGAGATGTGAGGATGTCCTGGGGGTGGGAGGTGTGAAAGAGTCCATGTTGGATGTCAGCACGGGGGTGGGGGATGGGGATGATAAGGGTGGTGGTGTGGGGCAGGAGGTGGTGGGGGGTTGTAGGAGTGTCCTGGGGTTGTTGCTCAGGGGTACATTAGGGGGGCTACATTGTCAATCACAAGGTAGCCCACGCCCTAACCTCCCTGGGGCTAGCGCACTGCCCAGGCCAGGGGAGGTAACTCCGGTATGTTGGAGAAACTAGCAGAGCAGCTAAATCAGAGTAAGAGGCTCACTGTGATCCGTTTAGTTGGCCTGTTAGTAAAAGTCAAGGTTTTGCATATTTTGCACTGACTGTATAATACACTGTGAGGATTAAGAAAGTTTACTGCATTTCTTGCTGTGTTGTGTTCTTGCCTGTTATATTTTTTGTTTTCCTGCTAGAACAAGGGGTTGGTGGCCATACCAGCTTATTTTTAGGGTTTTGCTAGTTGTAATTACCTTATTTATCAGACTGAGAGTCTGGCTGGTACACTGGCTTAATGCTTTTACAAAATGAAAGCTGTATGGAAGAAGACTTGAAACTAGAGATTGAGACCATAAACTTGTTAGGAAACTGTTTACTAAACTAATAAATCAAGTGAGAAGTCGGGTCATTTCAATTCAAAGTCAATAGTGGCCCTATCTGGAGAAAGACCCTATCCAGCCAGTGTTTCATTTCATATTGTTTGGTAAATGGTAAATGGACCTGTACTTGTATAGTGCCTTTCTAGTCTTCCGACCACTCAAAGCGCTTTTACACTACGTGCCACATTCACCCTTTCAGTGATGGCAAAGCAAACCCATCGAACAGAAACTAACATTCATACATACTCACACACCGATGCACGGCATCGGGAGCAATTTGGGGTTCAGTATCTTGCTCAGGGATACTTCGACATGTGGCACCAGGAGCCGGGGATCGAACCCACAATCTTCCGATTAAGGAACTACCCGCTCTGCCTCTTAGCCACAGCCGCCTTAATGTGGCTCCTATATTGTGTTAGAGAAGAGAGAGAGAGAGAGAGAGAGAGAGAATGTATTGAGAAAGGACAAAAATAGATTTAGTCAGAGACAGATGGGAGATAATGAATGTCTCAGTCCATCATAATGTTTCATGTCATAAAACACAGGATGCAATCTGACTTGACTAATGATAAATGGGCTAATACTTGACTAATTAGGAAGCACATTCACGCTCATATCTCAGAATATATATTATGGAAATTAAAGCCACCTTGATGAAAGGTTTTTTATCCTGAGTTGTTCACTGCATTAATAAGAATACAATGCCTGACAGCATGTTTCCTTCATCAAATACACCATGTGATATACATACGTGTATACTATATCTCCCATTGAGAACACATGTTGGCTTATACTCAAATCACTTCCAACTCCTCAAAATACTGCAGCTTGGTCAATGGCCCTCCACTTCATAATATGATGTTCTAGCAATATTCGGGTGCTCCGCCATCAATTCAGCAATGATTTCCGGGAAAGTTAGCAATAATAAATGAGCAATGTCTGGTTAGACTTTTGTTTGTATGGTTAACGTTGTGAATCAGTTGCAATTTGGTTAAGTTTAGGCATAAAAGTTCTGTCATGTACCCGACATAACTTGTACGTTACTTCAAAGAAATTGTTTACTTTTGGTTTCAGACAAGATACGAACAGCGGCCTTCTCGGCCGTGTGTTTGCTTAAGTCATCCATCAACCCGACCACCTCCATATGTGGACTTTCTCACTCTGTATACTACCTCACCTGACTTTGATGTGGGTGCATCCAGAAATTATGCTAGAGGGATACCTACAATGTCATATTTTGAAGCAGAGGTTCCACCAACCATGCTGCAGTATTTGATGACTTAGAAGTGAGATCGGGTTGGCAAAGCACACAACTGTCAGATTATATTTCTGATACAGTCCTTAAACATCTGCAGTGTCTGCAGAATCTGTGCTTCACATTAAAATGGATTTGGCAATTAGTAAATTGTATCTCCTCAGTCAAGTCAAATGTGATGTAGATACTGGAAGCCGCCAGTGAAACCAGACTTGGTGGACCGACCAGACTTCATTGACAAAACCAGTAATTTTACCTAGCAGATATTCATAAAACACACTTCAAACCTTTAGTTTTACCAGAGACAGCTGTAATATCACTATCGCTTGCCAAAATCCATAGACAATAAACAGTAATTTTACCTCACATATAACTGTAACATATTAACTTCATGTAAAACTCACTAAAACCATGTTAGTTAGTCTTTCCAGTGTTCCAACAATTACTAACTCTGATTTGGTTCAAATAAATCTTAAATTCACAGACGTAGATGAGAAAAACGGTTTTACTCTCCTCTGCTGCACACAAAGCAATGGAGCTATGGAAACAAACTTTGACTGGGGACATGTTATGTTATTATTTTGTGTCAAACTACCAGAATAAAAATGTTTAGCTTTTCTCCTGGCATGTAAAGACCTCGTCACTTGACAGCAATATATAGATATATAAGTTATTTTAAATATTTTATAATATGATACATTTTCTTGCTGAGGACTGTCTCCTTGGGTGAACTTTCACAAGATCATTAATCGTCAGTAAATGTGATCAGCTTAGGCTAACAAAGTGTAGGGTCATAGGAGACCTTTAAATATGAACTTGTTCATTTGGTGTGGTTAACTGGACTTTCATTGTGACTGGTCACTGCCTGTCACCTCATTCGGGCTCGTCCAGTTTGATGACGCGCAATGTCCAGGTGATGAAACTCCAGGCGTGGGGTTATTCTGTGTTCTCTTCTTCTTCTTCTTCCTCCATTGGACTGTCGGTAACGTACTGTGCATAGTCAGATAACTTAACAGGTTTAACGACTAGGCAAGAACTGTTTAATTACTGTTAATGTGACTGATGTGTTTTATTCAGGTTATTGTGGTTTTTGTATTGTGCTGTTGACCTGATTAACGCAGGCTACTGTAGTAACTGTAGCCTCTGAGACAGTGCTAAGGTGATGTTAGTTTAATGTTATGCTTCACACAGACACAGTCTTTGCATGCAACTAACTCCCTTTTAACAGAACCGTTAATCTAAGATGACATATACACATATTCGGCCTAAACCTCAGCACATACATGAGAAGAGGGAAATCAAACCCTCTTGCTTTCTCCATGTTCTTTGTCTCTCATCAACACGTGTTTCATACTCAGCTGAAACATCTGGTCAGAGGACAAAGGACACACACCTTTCTGGGGCGCAACCCCCATGTGCACACACACAGACACACACACACACCTTTTCCCTCAAACTTAGTTCCTTTAAGTTAGATTGTATATTGTGTATTTTCCTCTCTTTGCTTTTTACTATATCTCGTTAATAAATGTTTCTGTTTATACATGCTGGCCTATTTAATTTCGTACAGGGTTCAGTTTCGTACAGAGTGGGTGATACCAACTTCTTCTATACAGAGCTCCAAAGCCTTCCACTCTAACTATTATTAGTGATTTTGGTTATAGTTATAAATTTAAATAATAATCCGATTTCTAAATTAATAGTTTAGTGTATTTTTCTGAGACTGATCAATCAACGAACATTGTCATTCATCATTGTATGGTATGCTACTTTACAACCAGAATCGCTGTTATGTACAACTTTTGAGTGACCATATAATTCAGTTCATTAGACATTTAGTTAACCATACATCAACGCTTTCCAGATGTATGATGAAATATTTTCTCCAAAATCAGTGATAAACTTTTTGTTTATTGGCCCCAGAAACACTTCACTTGGGCAGAGAGAAAAGCTATTGTTAGCTAGCTAACAAATGATTCTTAGCTCTGTGTAGCTAAAAGTTGAAGATTGATTGACAGGCGGGTGCAATAATATTATTGATTGAAAGTTCACACTAGCATATACACATGTCACAGTTTATTTTACAGTAAGAAAAAATTTCATAAAAATACAAAGAAATGGATGTTTTGCTTTTTTTTTGCATATAGTGTTGAATTCCAGTATCATGGAACCTTTTAGAAGACCTTGGCTTATTTAGAGCATGAGTGCATTACCCTTTTTTTATATTATTATTAAGCTCAAAAACATTGTAGTTAACATTTCCTTATAAGTTTCCTTGTTTATCAAGTTTTGTTTTAACTTATCCAATAGTATGCTGTGTGTGGTGTTGATGTCAGTAGGAATGAAGATTGGTTTACATGCTGCTGCTTCAGACATGATGACACATGTGATGTGATTGTTCAAATTCCTTCAAAATTTACAAAATAAAGCGTGAAGCATGAAACTGGTGTTGTTGCAGATGTTAAAGACATGCTGGCAATCACATGACTGTAAATCCACATCTGTTTCTTACAGGAGCTGGATTTGAGTTCAGAGCCAGAGGAGAGTTCACCAGCATCATCATCGTCTTCATCAGATGAGGATTCTGTGCTGCTTAACAGTTTTCCTCCTCGCACCTCCAGGTGGGACAGAAGGAGCAGTAGTTTCAGCAGTGATTCATCACCTTCCCTTTCAGCGTCTCACTCGAACAAAGAAAGGGCCACAGAGGGGCACACACCAGGTTAGAGCCACTGAGTCTGATAACTTACAAAAGACATATCTCAACATACATTGCTTAAAGGTCCAGTTTGTAACATTAAGGAGGATCTATTAGCAGAATTGGAATATAACATTCATAGGTTTGTTTTCATTACTGTATAATCACCTGAAAATAAGAACTGTTTTTGTTACCTTAGAATTATCCGTTTTTATCTACAGACGCCATGTTGAACCACCATGTTTCTATTGTAGCCCAGAAAGAACAAACCAAACATCTAGATGGGTCTGATTTGCACTACTATGGGTCTGATTTGCACTACACAACTGCACCACTAGATGCCACTAAATCCTAAACATGAAACTTTAAGGCCTTTACACAGCTGGGATGTGACAAATACATTACATGAAAATGCGAAATAAGAATGCTTTTCATCATATATTTTTTATATATATATTATCATATATTTTGATGATATTTATCATCATTGGTTCAACATTTGACATATTATTTCCTTATAAAGTGTGAACAGCAAACAGTTACTTATTTACACACCCTACAGACACTACCAAGTGTATTAAGTATGCTGAAAATATTGAAAATATATTAGCACGCACACACTGTCAGTTGGGTAAGAAGTGGATGCAAAACTTTATCAAAATACTATGCTGTGAAAAAAAAAATTTATTAATGAGTGCTGCTGATTGGAATTTGGTCACATGCCTACTAACCATTAATTATACATTCACACTTGTAATCATCATAGACTATATTATAATCAGTCAGAAACGTTTACCTGAAAGCACTTGGTATGCTGTTCTACTGTGAAAAAATTGTTAATGCTTTCACATTTCAATAAATCTACTCACATGTCCAAGTCAAATCAAATTGTATTTATACAAAATCACAAATCACAATTAGCCTCAAGGAACTTTACAATCTGTACTGCTTCTTTAGACCCTTGATTTGGGAAAAGAAAATTTCCCCGGGGGAAAATTTTTTTATTATTTCACTTTTATTTTTATCAAGTGGAAATTCAAATGCACCATTTTCACTTTCTCTCTCTGCAGGTGCTGCCCTCTTAGAGGCTTGGGATTTCCACAGTCACAGCAGCATCCTCAGCACCAGCCCTAGGTTTAGGACCATGGTTAGAAAGGCAAGGTATGCTGAAACTCTCTGTTATCTCTGCATGTATGTTTGGGCAAAGCTTTTGTCAAGCTGTGATAATGATCAAAGGAAATGGTATCTGAAAACACAAAAGAAATTATATGTATTAGAAAGAATTCATTTATGACTTTGACCTCCATCCCTTCTCTCTCTACCCACCTTTCCTGTCTATCTACAGCTGTCACTGTCGAATAAAGCCAATAAAAGGCCAGAAAAATAACTTTAAAATAAAAAAAATAAAAACATTGACAGCATCTTATGCATATTATCCTTGTATACTGTAGAACATTAATATACATTTGGACTGAATGTGGGTAATGATTACTGGTATCTGACTGTTCTGCCTTTAGTTAATTTGTTTTAGTGAGTAAGATCATTTTCTTTGCCTTTGTCCGTTTTGCATATTTTTTGGTCATTTTGGACTCCTTTGTGGTCGTTAAAAGTCTTTCTGTAGTTGTTTTCTTTCTCTTTGTGATGTTTTTGTGTCTCTGGTATTTTGCCTCTCTTTGTAGTAATTTTGAGTCTCCTTGTGGTTGTTTTGTGTCTTTTGGTGGTCATAATCTTTTTGTTGTGTTTTTGTATGTTTCTCTGTACGTTTTTAAATGTCTTTTAGGTTGTTTTAAGTCTTTCTTTCAGCATTTGAGTCTCTTTTTAGCTATTTTGAGTGTGTTTGTCATGTTGCGCATCTTTGTGGTCATTTTATGTTTCTTTGAGGTTGTTTTGTATCACTTTGTTGTTGTTTCGCAACTCTTTGTGGTTGCTTTTGCATCTCCGAATCATTGGTTAACTAAAAAATATCATCATCGGGCCAAGCAGTTCCTATATTTAGTGTTCTTCATCTTTACAGTACATTTCATAAAGTTATTAATTAAATACATTTATCATGGAACATTTGTGTTGATCAGCTATTTGGAAAGTTTCATATAACAGTCACTCAGATACAGAAATATTTTTGTGACTTATTATTGTTTTCTGCTCCTAGGGAAGAAGCCCCCCCAGGTCAACGAGGGGATGAGCATGATGATGTGGAGGAGGGAGGAGAAGAATCCCACCATCGTACGACAATAGACAGGTTGTTGGAAAGACACGGAGCCTGTATTCCACACCATGAACCCAAACTGTACCGCACTGCAGCCGCCAAAACCATATCTATTCCAGGGTTCAATATCCTGGCTTTTCCTGATTTCTGGGGTCACCTCCCACCACCAGGACATGAACCCATGGTCCCACGCAAACCCAACATACAGAGGTACAATGCTTTAAAACCCTTAACTAATGGCTGTGTAGGACATGTAGCATGAACATAGAGATGGGTTTAAGAATGGTGAATTAAATTATTCATGTTCGAGGACATGAGAAGTGACTAAAACCCAGACTTAACAAACCCACATATGTAGAACCTAATGGAGAAAGCATATTGGCTGGTTATTTGTGGCTGGTCTTATGCTCTAACGAACAGAAATAGACACTCCCCGTTTCCTGATTTGTAAGTCTGTGGGAGTGGCTGTGGCTGTGGCTTAGGTGGTAGAATGCCTTGTCCTATAATCGTGGGTTGCTGGTTCAATTCCCAGCTCCTGCAGTCTAAGTTAGAGTGTCCGTGGGCAAGATACTGAACCCCAAATTATCGCCTATGGCTGTGCTGTCAGTGTGTGCGTAAGCTTAGTATCATTGTGGGCTCTTTGGAAGCACTATATCACTTCTAATGAGAAGGTACGCACCTTGCATTGTAGCCTCTGCAGTCAGTGAGTGAGGTATGTTGTAAAGTGCTTTGAGAGGTCAACAGACCAGAACAGCACTGTTTAAATACTGGTCCATTCACCACAAGCCTTGCTCCTAGATGTTAAAGTTACAGGCAGGAGTAGCCAGTTTGCAGCCAATAACAGCTGGGCAGGTATTGTATTTCAGAAAAACTTTTTATAAAAGAAAATAATTCCGTATCTGCTGTTGAAGAACAGGAGTAAGCCTACCTGCCTGACTACCTACCTGTGCTTTCTCTGCCCACACACTCATTGTGCATGAAAATGTGTTTTGGGGGAGTGTCTTTGGAGGGAGGTCTGGAGAGAGGGAGTGGGATTTTTCAGTTGCATACCTTTTAAAAATCTAGAATGTCTCTTGTTAGTTTCACAACATTACCAACCCTAACTTTAATGTTACTTTCAAATCATGCAGATGCTCTCCTCCTAGTCAAAAGTAATAACTGAAGCCCTGGGCCATTTCATTTACGAACAAGCACCCGTATTGCATTGTTGAAAATGCCATTTACATGAATGAAACTGACCTGTGTCCCAAGGTGAACAATACCATGTCAGCAGCATTTCCATTAAAAATTAGTGCTCAAAGTTTCCCATGTATTACCTACCGCATGTTCACTCTAGATAGCTGGCGCCCCATGTACCAAGGCTGAATCCGACCTGTGGTCCTTTGCTGCGTATAACCCTCTCTTGATCCTCTTTCCTGTCTATCTTCAGCTGTCCTATCCAACAAAGAGAAAAAGCCCCAAAACTATAACTATATTTAAAAAAATGCTGAATAGGAGGCTTGGACTAATTGTTAATATCAAGGAGGAGCAATACAGATTCCATCCTTGTTGTGAATCTGAAGCAGGGTTACTGAGGGGTCATGGGTGTTGTCGTGTGCTCATCAAGTCCAGTACTTGTGTTTTGTGTCTAATGTGTGTTAGTAGGCTGCATTTGCTTTCAAGTTTATAGAGTCTCTACATCTATGTTGTCTGCCTTGGTGATACTTTACTCCGCTGTAAAAGTGGCTTGATAATGGTTGTTGCACCCGCCATGGGTGCAATTGTACTTTTAGGTCAGTCTCTATTTTGATGAACAAATAAATACTCATATTAGTCTACAGAATCCAGTCTCAGCATATTAAGAAATTAATACCAGGTCTCGTAATCTTTCTGACTAGGCAGCCTGGAACCACTCTGACAAGCTTAGCAGAATAGGAAAAATGCTATTATTCCTAGAGAAGAAATGTTTATAACACAGTAACTGAACCTACTTTTTACTTGAGTCAAATTTATTTAGGGTTACATAGGGCTAGGCGATATAGCTGAAAAATGCTTCAGGGTAAAATGTAGAGATATAGACATATGAAAATTTGATGTGGCTCAGAGGCAGGTCATCCACTAATCGGAAGGTTGTTGGTTTGATCCCCGGCTCCTCCCGCCACATGTCGTGGTATCTTTGAGCAAGATACTGAAACACGAATTGCTCCCGATGCTGTGCATCAGTGTGTGAATGTGTATGAATGAGTTTGATGGGCTTTGCAATCACTGAGTGAATGTGTGTGAGAGCGTGAATGTGGCACGTAGTGTAAAAGCGCTTTGAGTGGTCAGAAGACTAGAAAGGCGCTATACAAGTACAGGTCCATTTACCATTTACCATGTCACCATTATCCTGGCCAAAATAATTGCAATTCATGATATTAAAGTGATATTCATAAAAAAAGAAAAAAGAAAATATACTCTCTACACTTACCTTACATTTTATCAATAAACAAGAATGTTATTGCATCACAGATTGGACACTTCTGATAGGACATTTCATTCCCTCTTGTTCTTTAGTTTGAAATATATAGCATTTTTGGTGGGTAATGCAACAATCAAGCCGAGCCTTCAGCCAAGGTGACAGATTTAGGATTTTGGAAAGATGCAGGTTCGCCCTTGTGACAATAAAAAAATAAATCAGGAAATCAATACTCTACCTGAGCTTTTTCAAGTCACTTGTGAGGCTATTTATGATTATCTTGATTCACATTTAATGAAGGTGAAAAAAGGCAGAATTTAACCACTTGATTGTTAAGACACAGAGGTAATAATTTTGGTAATAATGTTTTATCATACAATATTGTTGCTGAGCACACTGCTAAAACAGACTTCAGTCTAGAACATTTTCTTGTATTGAGCATAAAAAAGAATCTGGGTAAATGGGGTAAGCCAATTTAGCTTGGCTAGAATTCTTAAAACCAATTTACAAATATAACCACTGAAAGACTGTAATGAGCTTTAAAACTAGACAAAATTCCAAAAATGTGAGAAAGTTGTACTTTACAAGTAATGAAAACTTAGTTATTTAAGACAGACTTTCTGAAAATAAGTATTTTGGTCACTTTATTGAGCTGAAATTATGTTTACCTTAAGATTAATAGTTATTAAAAAAAAACTTACAGTAAGAGTCACAGTTTCTTCAAACAGCATAATAAAATAAGTGACTTTGTTTTAAATGAAGGCACCAGAAGCATTCTTATTTTTAGCCTTTTTTAAAATTAAAATATGAAAAGCTGAACAGCTGCTACATCTAAAACACTGGAACAGGACAACTTTCTCTTAAACTGAGAAGTGGTCTTACTGTTAAAATAAGGGAAATAATCTTGTTCCTCTGGAGATATTATGCAAACCATTGGTATATCTTATTAAGACAAATTTAGATATATTTTCTTAAAACATTATTTTTCTAATGCAAAAATGTGGTGGTCTACCTGCATCCTCAGCACCTTATCCACAAGTCGTGAGGGCTGTATTGTATTAAAAGCACTGGAGAAATCAAAGAACCGAATCTCACAGTGTTGCCTTATTTAAATGGCTCTTCCCCGCTACATCTCAAATTATCCTTTAGCAAGATACTGAACCCCAAATTGCTCCCGACAGACCATCACTGTGTAAATGTGGAAGGGCGATGTGGCATGTAGTGTAAAAGCACTTTGAGTGGTTGAAAGACTAGAAAGGCGCTATACAAGTACAGGTCTATTTACAATGGTGGTGTTCATCTACAATAAAGGAAGCTGCACTACTCGGTAAAGAGGGATTTTAAATTTTTCATGGCCTGCAGTCTTTGGTTTTTGGGTGACTAATTTTGCCCCACAGTGGGAGCAAAAGCTCAATAAGTAAATTTTCACTGTCAATCCAGAGGCAATTTACTTCTCCTGAATCTATATGAAGGCAGAAACAGAGGATCAGTCTCTTTGTTATACTCACATTTGATCTCTCCCTCCACATGCTCTTTTCTTCTTTAGCTCTTCTGCCCTATTTCTTATCTAACCACCTACATATTTTTGCAGTCTTCCTCTACTCATGCAGTCTTTCTTAGTCTCCCTGTCACATTCCATTATTTCCCCATCTGTTTTATTACGCCATCTTCCCTCTCTCTTTAGCAGATGTGACAACCATGATATCCTTCTGTAGCTGTGGCTTCCTTATTTGAGTCTTCCCTCTGTTTTTGTCCACTATATTCCTTCTTGTACCCCTCTGTCTCTCTTCCATCTGTAACCTGCCTTCATGTTAACCATACATGGCAGTAAATGGCATATAGTTTTCTGACACTAATTAGATCATAGACATACAATATATGAATAAAAACTAGATTGATCTAATGCAAGTTTAAGTAGAACTATCTATACATCATGCAGTAATTATGGTGCATATAAGGAGATGATGTTTAACACAGACTGAATGGACTGATGATGACACGGAGGAGAATAGACAGACAGAGCTGTGAGCAGAGAGGAATGTTTGTGTAAAACTCTCAACACTGTGCCCTGCATTTCAATGTGTCCCTCTTCATTTCTATGCTGATTGCTGCTGACAGCGAGTGCCACTGTTTTTTTTTTTAGCATCAGAGTCAGATTCAAGTAGTGTATTTCTGCTCCCTAGTACCAGCAGGTTCTTGTAAACAATAGAAAGTTATTTATCAAAATTACATCAGCACTCTAAGAGAACACTCAAACTGGATTCATAATTTGTCCTGGATTCATTAGAGTTTGTCATTTCAATCTGATTTTACCCAAGTACATCTGTAAACATGAAAGTTGTTTCTTAGGATTTTCCATCTCATCCACAATACATTTCTGGTCAAGAATAGAATACTTGCCTCATTGCTGCTGGGTGTAGCTAGCTACAGCAAACCTCGCAAACCCATGGCTATTTGCACAAGCTGTGTTGACATACTGCGAGTTGGGCTTCTCTCTTTGGCTGCACTTGATCTCAAAAGACAAATTGAAATCAAGCGCAGCCAAGCAAATCAATGCAAGCAAATTAATGGTGGCTTTCTTAGACACACATTTTCTCATATTACAGATAACAGTACACTAAAATACGTTTCTGAAAAGATTTGAGCTAGAAATAGGCAATGCAGTAAAAAAAAATCTTGATTCATATTTTATCAGAAAGACAGTTTAAGTTTGGTGCATTGCGCTTGACGGATTCACTGAGAATGACTTGTCAATCACCACACCCTAAAGCATTCACTGCTTTCACTAAATAAACATCATGTTGTATGAAAGAAGACTGAGAAAGAAGAAGAAAACAAGTTACCTTTGTTTGAGCAATCATACATTTTATTATTTAGAAAAAAAATATTATTATTTTAAAATGTGCTTAATTGAAAGTAGATTTTTTTTACATTGTACTCCCCGAATGGCTGCTATTGGTTTTTGAGAGGAATACTTTTTTCTTGAATTTTTTTGAACACTGGTAGTTTCTTGTAGTTGAATAATGTTTCGGTAATGTAGCTGTACTTGAAGACTTGTTGTATTTATTTATTCTTTAGCTAACCTATCCAAGTACATATAATGAATATGTATAGTTTTGTATTGCTTTACTGGAATTACTTTAATTTCATTTTGTGCACTTGGAATTAGTCATTTCTGTGACATTTACTGTGGGACACACATATAAAGAAGTTACCTTATTTTAGTTGTAAAGGAATCTTGGTTCACAATGAATCAATAAATCAATCAATAAAAGATATTAAAGATTTCCAAGTGTAAGTGTTTTGGAGGCCTTAGTGCAATTTGGATTTGAGATTAACTGTTGCATTGTTGAGATGTTGAGCTGCATGTCGGTAAAGAGAACTGTGTGAAGAGATCTGAAAACTCATGTGGGGTACACAATTATTTCCCAACTTCACCTTTTTTTGTATGTGTATTTTTTTCATTTATTTCACCTTTTATTGTGTCTATTTTCTTTGAGTTGTGAGGGGATGTGAGCCTAGGCATGTATGTTGTGAATGTGTATCTATGGCATTACGGTTAAATGTGTATGTAGAAGAGTGTGTGTATTTGTGTGTTTGCAAACGGAATGTTTTAACGTTGCTTCTCTGAGACATTTTCTCAGCACTTTCAAGAGCCCAACAGACGCTGACATTTAAGATGCAATTTCACTCTGAACTTAATCTAATTATGTTGCCTGTCTGTTGGCGCTCATCTAAAAAGAGAAAAATTTTTGGAGTCTGCAGTTAACAGAACTAATGTTAATGTTTAGGCTGCTCTGCGAATAAATTGCCTCAGGTGTAGAATAAGATTAGGCCTAATGTGAGGGACCTTTCAAGCTGTGTCTCATTTCAAACCCAAATGTTCTCATCCAGTCCACTTTGCCTCTGTCTTCTCAGGAACTGCTTTGGTTTTATAAAACACTAGAGCTCATCATGGAGCTGCCTGTTGCTGAAGATAGTAAATCAGAGTTTACACTGATCATTTAAACTGGTTAGACTGACATTCATGCTGTGTATTGGTTCATAAGTTATGCTGTGGAAATGAAAAGCCCAAATCAAGACAGAATCCCAGAGGACAAAAGAGAGCTACTGCAGCTACTGGTTCATTACATTCATCCTCTGTTCATCAGTTAAAGTGAAAAGTCCATGTACTATGTTTGATCCAACTTTATATCACAATATATTATTCATATTATTCCTAAGAGTTTTTGGTGTCATAAAGGTCAAAACATTTACTGCTCTAGAGCAACAGCATCTAGCATCCAGCAGCAGACCAAAACAAATGGATGCCACGGCTAATCAGACTATATTCACAAAACCTTTCAGTCATTTTACCCAGCAGTTAATCATACAGCACACCTTAAACTGGACAGAAACAAAACAAAACTCACCAAAACCGTTGGAAATAAACCCTTTTCACCAAGTTAGATGTGACAATATTCACCAATGCTGCAGCCTCTGGGTGACACTAGGATTTAGACTTTTTAATCCTGTTTCACAGTGGTGGTTTGGTGTTATTGGTTGGTGGAAACAGATGTGGCAGTCTAGGCAAATTCAATGTCACATCCACATATACGCCGTATAGGGGGGGAAAGTTAGGACAATTCCAAGGGCCCATGACTATCAGGGGCCCCAAAAAATATAGGCTTAATGTCCATAGTGAAATAAGATAGCCAGCTACAGACTAGTGTTTCCCTACATTTAATCACCATTTAATCAGTTCAGGGAAACATTTAGCAAGATATTCATATTAAATCATTGTCCCTACCCCTTTTAGCAGACTTAACAACAGATGAGTCAGCAGCACCCCTATCTCCCCATCACTGTACCCTCCAAGTCTCCCCATCACTGTACCCCTCCCTGTCCCAGTGAAGAAGGTGAGCAACATTGTGTTCAATGACAGGCCAGTCAGCGTCATTGTACAAATCACCAGCAGTAAATATTGTGCTTTTACTAGTATTGAACTACAAGAAGCAAGACAGTTGCAAGCCTTTAATTAGAGTTATGTAAAGCTTTTGATGGGACAGTTAGGTCCGAGAGATGTGGTGACAACAGCTGCGCAGAGGGGGCCCAATTAGATTTTTTTGTCATGGGGCCCAAAATTCCTGGTGGTGCCCCTGGTCACATCTATAGCTTTTTATGTACTTTAAACACAGTATTAATATTTGTTTGCCTGTATGTGCTTGTCTTTATCAGGCAGAAAGTGTTTGAAGATGTCCAACGTTTCCTGAATACTGATGACATCATCAACCAGGTAGTGTTTGACCTGGAAGACGAAAGGTATGCAAACAACTCAAATATACAATTGTATTCTAAGGTTTGGCCGTGACAAATGAAATATTTTGGTGATTTTTCATTGAAAAGATGTAAACACAGCCTTTTAGGGGTATAGGAAATATAACACAATATTTGCAGCAAACATAGTTTTGTTTTATTTCATAAATTGGACAAAAATAAAAAATAAATAATAATAATAATAAAAGTTTGGGTAACATAAGAGTTCTGCAGTCTCAGATTTTTTTTTACAAGGTTTCAGACCTTCATCAGCTTTTTGGGCAGGGGGGATAGTGCAGGTTGCCGAAACCTTTCCACATGCAGCTTTCATTTTTTTATTGTTGTTCATTTTACGAAACAAAACGAAACAATGCATGAATGCTTGCTGCAAATGTTATGTTTTATGTTCCATACTGGGGCTGTGTTTACATCTTTTTACATCTTATTTTGGGTGTTTTCTTTCTGCTAATCTAAAAGACATGGACATGGAAGCCAAAGGGGCCAAAATCTCAAAATTGAACAGTGCATGAAAAAACAATGTTTTTCCTTGTAGTCTCTCACCTTCAAGGTCCAGTGTCCACATTTAGGAGGATCTATTGGCAGAAATGGTTTATAATATTCATAGGTATGTTTTCATTAGTGTCTAATCACTTAAAAAACAAAAAAAGAAGAATGTTGTTGTAGCTAATGTCTTTTCGTCACCTTAGGATGAGCCTTTAATCAATCTTCTATCTACAAATGCTGTTGGTCGCCTTCCATGGAGGCAGCCGTGTTGAACTGCTATGTTTTTACAGTAGCACAGAAGAGACTTTTTTTTGTGACTTTTGCGGCCAAAGGGAGTTGGACGTTATCTGCAACTACGCTGCTAAATTCCACACACTGGTCCTTTAAGCTATCTATTTTATAAGACAAAGTTGAGTTTTTATTATTTTTGAATTCATTTGATTGTGAAAATGTTGGTTAATGTTGTTGTTCAAACGGAATGGAATAATTTGCCCTAAACTCCATTTGGTCATCTCTGTCTCTTTGTCTGCTTCTTTGTCTGTCAGTCTTCAGAGTCCATCTAATTCCTTGAGGTTTTTCTCTAAATTTGAATGTGGGAACCTAAGGAAGGCTATTCAGGTCCGCAGGTATAAACACACAGGCACACTGAGCATAACGTTAAAGAAGTTATTAAGAGGCAAATGTAATATTATTATTACTTCAAAAAAGTCCTAACTAAGAATATTATTGCAGGTAACTCAGTAGGACAAAATCCATCATCTTCACTTCTCTTCTTTTCTGTAGCTATGAATATGACCTCATATTGAATGCAGATGTTAACTGTTCCCAGCACACCCAGTGGTTTTACTTTGAAGTCAGTAACATGGTGGCAGACGTCCCTTACCGTTTTAATGTCATCAACTGTGAGAAGACCAACAGCCAGTTCAACTATGGTGAGTTGTTGTGTGTGTTTTATTATGTAAACAGCATTAATGACAGGAGCCAGGAGCCTGGTAACAAGCTTCACAGTGGCGTTTAAGAAACCTATGGGTGACACTTCAGATGCTACATTCATTCTTAATTATACAGTCTATAGTATGAATTGCCAGAACTTCACGGAAAAAGTATTGTGAGAGAACACAACCTCACCTGGCTGCAAAAGCACCACAGTGCCTGCTCACACTTCAGTCAAGCTGCCATAACTATGTCATGGGCAAAAAGGAAAGATCCTGAGGTCACCAAACGGGACATTATCCACTCCTCAGCTGGGCCTAAAGATTCTGTCAAACAGAATTGGTGACAAGGATTTGCCTTCTGTAGTCCAACACCCACTGGGAATACTGTTGACTGACGGCCAACAATGTGGAATCAGCTCTCCCTCAAGTTATACAGAGACTGGATGTCATGGCTGCTGCTGCCAGCCCTATGTTTCCCTATATATTGTCCATAAAAAATAGAAATGTTCCCATCATTTCATTTACACGGCCGTGTAGTTTAAATGTAAATGTGAACCGAGTAACCAGAAAGCATGTGTGATTTGTTTACTTGAGCGAGCGAGTGAGAGAGCAAGAGAGAGAGAGTGTGCAGTAGAAAGATACTGCCCTCCATCCCGCTCACTTCTGGAAATGCTTTGCTTTTTGAAGACGTGTTAATTAAAATATTACTACAGTGCTTTTACTTAAAAAAAAAAAAAAAAACGTAGTGAAATATGTTATCACTACCAACAGATCCTTTCACTGTACTCTTTTGCTGGGAGACACGCGCAACTCCTGGTAAAAATAGGCAAGACTTGACTCTCTAGTGAAGCGTCACTGCAGACGCAGCTGAGACGCACAGTGTGACCACGCTTATCTGTTAACATAGGCGCCGTAATAAAAATCTAGACATTCTCCATGCATACGCCACACAGACACGAGCTTTGTACGCACTTCAGATAGGGTTAAAATTTCTGACCAGTTCGGGTAATGGTAAAATGACCAAATTCCCCTAGAGACATAGTCTTGTGATACACCTACCAATTGTCTGGGGATTCCTAAAAGTTGCTTGAGTGGAGAATGGCCTCTAAACGTACGGCCCTTACTTCAAGGGCACGCCTTGTTTGTAAGTAGTAATGTGCCAAATATAAACAAAGCAAAAAACAATCTGAACTCTTTTGGTTCAGAGGAAACAGGTATCAATCATGGCAATGGTTGCCAGGTAAATAATTGATTCAATCAAGTTTGTGATGTAAAGAATAAAAAAAACCATGACACCTTTGCTTAGACTGCATATCTTTTATAATGGTAAATGGACTGAACCTATAGTGCCTTTCTAGTCTTCTAACCATTCAAAGTGCTTTACTCTATGTGCCACATCCACCCATATTCATACAGTGATGGCAAAGGCCATCACAAACAGACACTAACTCATAAATGATAAATGGTAAATTGACCTGTACTTGTATCAACTCAAAGCACTTTTTAACTACATGCCACATTCGCCCTTTGACACACATTCACACAGCGATGGCAAAGCCCATCGAACAGAAACTAACGCATTCATACACATTCACACACCGATGCACAGCAGAATTGCCAGTATTCCAGGTTCAGTGCCCATTTCAGGCACTGAACCAGGCTTAAACTCTAAATCCTGAAAACAGCTCTACAGGCTCAGCAGCGGGTCCTACCACAATAGACCATCTATTACAGCTAAATACACACAGAGATAAAAGGTTTGCAAAACACACTCAGTTTCTTCAGTAGCAATTACTATTCTTTTATATACACATACTACACACTGGTTCATACAATGGCCTTTGTACCAGAAAATAGCTCTTTTAACATCCCTCAGAAATCAGTTTAATTTCAGGAAGAAGTGAACGAAGAGAAGAAAGGGTTGCTTTACCAAAATAGTCTGTATCCAAGTGTACAGAAAATGCCTATTTAGAAAGACTGTAGATAGATAGACCTAGAGATTTGATGCTGTTTGATTCAACAAGAACAGTGGCTTTTTAACTTTACCAGGCTCTGGGCTTAATACAGCAATAGAAAAAACTGTGGTTAGAGTCAAGTCAAGTCACTCAGTATTTAAAATGAAAACAAAACAAACATAGGCAGGTATTCATTATTGTATCTCAAGTCAAGTGAATAGTTAACTTCCAAGTTCAGTCTCAAGCGTCAAATTACCAAGATGCAGTCACGAAACTGTACAAGTGATCACAATGAAGGCTGAGTTTGAAGATGGGCGTGGTCTTATGTCAACACGTTGATGGGTGTCATGGTTGGGTCTGTACTTTAAGTTTTATTGTCATTTAATTGTATCATTGTATGTGTTTTGTGCTGTTTTGTATTTTTGTATATATTTCTACAAAAAAATGCTTGTGCTGTACTGTGCAGTACTCTGGTATGTGGCAGTGGTCCATGCTATATACTTGTCAATATAAAATAAATAAATGTTATTGATTAATAAATAAATAGTATTACATTAGAGAAAAACCTTGTAAAATTATTATGTAGCATAAAGAAATACTATGGAGACTGTCACAGGAGCAGTTCACACACCAGCTACCAGTTTACTGCTGTGTGATAACACCATGGCTGTCTTATGTGGGTGACTGTCTATCTGTGTGTGTGTGTGTGTGTGTGTGTGTGTGTGTGTGTGTGTGCGTGTGCGTGTGTACTGCAGGAATGCAGCCAGTGCTGTACTCAGTAAAGGAAGCTCTGGAAGGTAGACCACACTGGGTCAGGAGCGGAACTGAAGTTTGTTATTTCAGGTATTTTTATCACCTAAAAGAGATGCTGGCAGTCCAATCGCATGTGTGACTTCAAACCGCTGAGATGGCTCTGTCCATGGAAATATATGATTTTGCAGAAAGTGCAGGATAGCAACTTGATCCCTTCATTAACTTTTATTGTGCCAGAATATTTCAGAAAACTGTCCTCTTTTTTAGGATACACAAAACCTAGTAGGAATTAGTCATAAGGGACTGATAAAACATATGATACAGCCTACAGACACTACTGGAGACTGATCTTTTATCTACACACTTTTTATTTTTTTCATTCACTATATTTTTCCTTCTAGAAACCACTTTTGTCCAGCTCGGGGCAGAAAGAGAACAACCTTTTATACTCTGACCTTTACCATCACCTTCAAACACAACGAGGACGTTTGCTACCTGGCCTACCATTACCCCTACACATACTCTGCTCTGAAGGTACTGATTTATCTAGTTAATCTGTCTGTCTGTCTGTCTGTCTGTCTGTCTGTCTGTCTGTCAGTCATGCATTAAGTTGCTAAGCCCTTCACTTTTTATATGTAATTTTATTCTTTTCTCTTGCCAGTCTAGTGAAGAATTCAAATCACCAACCTCCTAGATTCTACTTATTGTTAACTTGAATTATATAATAATAATATAATTATATAAGACAAGAAGACATATATAAGAAAAACAAATTATTGTTTTTGTACATACAGCTGTGGGGTCTCTGGTTATCCAAACCATAAGAAAGTAAAGACAATTTCAACAAAACACAAATGTTAATGCTACAGTTGTCATTTATTAGGCTGTTAGTGTGGTCTCTTTGGTATGGTCTCTGTCTCTTTGTTCGTTGATCACAATGTGTTAAAGCTAAAATAAAAACAAAAGTAATTGTACTTTGGTCTTTATTTGTTATCACTTTACTGTAAACTCTGTACTATACTAGTCCATTTACCAATTACCATTTGGCAGGTTTCCTATGCTCTGGATTGAACTTGCTCTGGGGGATAAGAGAATCTGATACTCTGTTTTGAGAGTATGAGAGACACATTTTATTCATACTTACATATCTACGTACTGATATAAAAAAAAAGAGAACATTATTAAAAACTTAAGAGACCCCTCAGTGCTAAAGACTGTTCGCCAGTATGTCTCAGGTAAAATTATGTTTTTCATGTGTAATTTGCAGCCTAATATTATTTGATAAGTTGTATATCAAAATATAATTCATCAAATTTCTTTTAAAGTCATCCCAACCATATCGTTATCCTTTGCTGTCGTTATAATTGTGATATGAAATCCACCATCCACTTGAGTGAGAAAGATTTTTAAAAAGACACATTTATAGTTATTATTATAGATAGTTATTGGTGTGGGCTGCCCTTAACACTAGCCTGGCTATGATGCTAACCAGCATTATAAATTAGGCAGGCCTGGGAGGAATGCGACTCAGTCAGGGCAGCTTGACCCCGTTTGTTGCAACATGCAATAGAGCACAAATGAAGAACACATGTCATACAGTGACAAAGTTTGTGAGTTTCTTCAGAGAGCAGAGGAAATAGAAAAGAGAAATACACCATTGAAACACAATAAAAAACATGTATTTAGTCAGGCAGTCTCATTGAGATTTAATAAAAAGTCACAAAGAACAACAGATAATGATTTATGCAGTAATGTAAAAAGAGGAGGATTTTACTGTTGTAGTGGCTGAGGTCAAATTCGAGTTTAAGACCTTTATTTGACCCAAAGGGGCAACTACACTGCACTGATGTCCCTGCAAAGATGAAGATTTTTTTTTTTAAGTTGATGATTAATAATTTGTGTGTATATATCTCCTCTAGAAAAGTTTCAGGTAAACCTTCTGATATACAAATGTAATCAAGAAATCGGTGTACTGGTCATGGGACATAGTGCTAGCAGATGCAGTATGGTTATTCTGATTATTTCTCTTTTTCTCATTTTGCACCCAGATATAAATGAAATGGTAAACATCATAAAGTGACCACAAAACAAAAAGGTCCTCGTGCATGGTGCTTGCTAAAAAAAAAGTTTAGATCAAATAATATAAGTCCAAGTTTTTTGCCCCCCACTCCAACAGTGTTCATAGGCCCCCCAAAAAAGTTAGAAATAGTTCTGGCCCTATACATTCAAATTAGGACTCTGTGGGTGCCTCTCTAGCATGTGCCGTTGAAGTCAGGTGACAAACAAAGAGTATAAACATTCAGACTTATTGGCTAATCAGAAGTAGCCCAGAATGGAAATTCACGTTTTTCGTGAGTTTCTCGGCAACCGTATTTCTCCAGAGTTGAGATCTGCAACTACACTGTTAGATGTCACTAAATCCACATTGGACCTTTAAAATGCAACCCAAAAACAAGTATTTTGAGTTGTCTAAACAGAGACATAAAAACATGAATAATGCTTTAGCATGCAGCTTTAAAACAACCAGTAGCAGTGTAATGCACTGCAGTGTTGACAGCTAAATTAATTGAAATTAAAGCTGCAAGCAGCGTTGAGCGGGACCTCGCACTCCACGCAACTCGGGGCGTGCTGCGGCCGTGTCACGTGCCGTCGTAACACGTACGGACCACAACATGAAAATCTCACGTAAATCAGCTCAAAATCGCCACGTAGCGCTTACTTCCTGTTGCCAGTAGGTGGCGCTATCACTATGTCTGAATGTTGTCATGTAGACATGTTCAAGGCGAGACTGTTATCAAACACGTGAAGTTTCATTGAGATTGGACCATGTATGCTGAAGTTATGAGGACGTGTTCAGGGCAAAACTGTTTCAGAATATATTAAGTTTATTGGAGATTGTACATTGCACACTGAAGTTATGAGCACTAATTTATGGCGAATCTGCTGAAATCGACAAGTTGTCACTGGCACACGGTTTGATGTACAGTCACAAATAGCTCAACTTTTCAATCAGTTTGTATGACGACAGAATTCAAAGTGGCCAACTTTGACCTCACGCCACAGACACGCCGTTCAACGTACAGTCTCAAATAGCAGAACTTTTAATCAGCACAATTTTTTGACTGTACTGACTAATTTTGAAGTACATTCAATAAATTCCCTAGGAGGAGTTCGTTCAAATACAACACGAAAAATCACCAAAAATGACCAAAAAAATCAAAATGGCTGACTTTGATGCCACGCCACAGACACGCCCTTTAATGTACATGCACAAATAGCACAACTTTTAATCAGAACCATTTTTTGACTGTACTCAAAAAATTTGAAGCAGATCCGATGAATTCCCTAGGAGGAGTTCATTCAAATACAAGGCGAAAAATTCACCGAAAATGCGCACGGAATTCAAAATGGCCAACTTTGACAGCACGCCACGGACACGCCTTCAACATACATGCACAAATAGCACAACTTTTAATCAGAACCATTTTTTGACTGTACTCACAAATTTTGAAGCATATCCGATAAATTCCCTAGGAGGAGTTAGTTCAAATACAATGCAAAAAGTTCGCCGAAAGTGAAAATCAAAATCAAAATGGCCGACTTTGTGGGGTTTTGGGTATGGATCCAAGAGGCTTTTTTATACGTCCCGGCATGTTACACATGTCTACCGAGTTTCGTACATATCGGTGAAACGTGGCGCCGGGGCTGCTTTTTTAAAATTCCTGTAGGGGGCGCTACAAACAAGACAAACACAATTTTTTGTGTGTGAGCTACAGGAACCAGTCTACACGTGCCCTGTGAATTTCATATTCTATTACGGTCTCTGCACAGTGATTTACCATGCCCCCAGACCGCCACCTAGTGGCGGATTGTTGACACATTTTTTAGTGAGCCTCAGGGAGCCATGGGGAAGCATCGTATCAAGTTTCATCTTAATCACACATACCGTTGTAGAGATATAAACTTCTTCATTTTAAAGAGCGCCACCTTGTGGCAATGGCCTGAAATTGTGCATGATGCCTAAGGAAGACGTGTGGAACCATGGACCCAAGCTTGGTGTCAATCGGACATACCAATGTGGAGAAATGGTCCACTTCCTTTTTGGATGAAAAATCCACAGGAAGTGCTAATTTTATAACGTGCTGGTTTTTTGAAATATCAAAATTCTTTTAATCACTTTTTTATTATGAGGGTCCTCAGATGCTACGTGAACATTTTTGTGCGAATCGGACAAAGCGCATGGGGGAACACGGAAAAGTAGTTTATGGACATTTTGCGCTCTAGCGGAGAAAAATTATAGGCCGAAGTGGGCGTGGCCTATATGGGGAGATTTAGCTCCCTTTACCGAACGCGTGGATACAAGGGTTTTGAATGTGCGACAAACTATGCAGAAGTTATTAGCCTAAATGCATTTTTTATGATAGTAGCGCCACCTAGTGGCCAACCCAAAAGCGACGCATTGAATATCCCCATTTCCACCAGGCCTGACAACTTTGCCAAATAAAATTTAGTTTTTGTATATGTTCAGGGGGGCAAAAATGCAGTCGAGGGGGGCTGAAAATAATAATAAGAAGAAGAAGAATAGGTAAGAAATAGAGCAAAAACAATAGGGACCTCCAGCGGTTGCCGGCTCGGTCCCTAAAGATAGCCGTGCTATAGAAGATGAGAGAGAGAGAGAGAGAGAGAGAGAGAGAGAGAGAGAGAGATACCAACAGTATAGATTATAATTAATTTATTGTAAATATTGTTTTCCTTTATTAGGGACTGAGCCAGCGACCACTGGAGGTCCCTATTGTATTTGCTATGTTTCTTATTAGGGATCGAGCACTGACAAGTGCAAGACCCTATTGTTCCTCTAGGAATTATTGTTATTATTATTCTGCCCCTTCTAACGCATATTTGGCCCCCGCAACATGCTCAAAATGCCATGAAAATTTGCACAAAATTCAAACGTAGCGAAAATACCGATATGACATTGTGCCCGTGCACGGGCGCCGCAAAACGGCTAAGCCACACCACCCAGAATCAGCCCCCAAGACACATAAGGCCCACATGTACGAAAATTGCTACACATGTGTATCATGATAAAAGAAGGAGAAAAGTCTCAAGGACCCATACCTCAAACCCAACAGGAAGTCCGCCATTTTGGATTTTGTGGCCATTTTTGGCTATTTACACACGTTGTATTTGAACGAACTCCTCCTAGGGCATTTATCGGACTGACTTCAGATTTGGACACAGCCATCTAAACACATTCACCATTAAAAGTTGTTTTGTTGTTTTCGTTGAACATCGTGGATGTGGCGTGGCGTCCCGTGTCGTGCAATTTCAAACCTTCGCCATGAAAGAGGGATTAATCATTACTTCTGCATACATGATCCGACTGCAACGAAACTTCACATGTTCGATAAGAGTCCCGCCCTGAACACGTCTATGTGATAATATTCAGTAATAGTCAGAGCGCCACCTAGTGGCAACAGGAAGTATCACGTTTTATACTTTCATGTTCTACTCCTAGCAGGATGATCAGATCCAGCTAAAATTTACTTATAAAATGCAAAACACATTGTTGATGATATGTGATGACTGCGATGAGTGGGCGTGTCTGTGGCGTGGTGGGAAATTTTGATGTACCGCCACAAAACCCGAATTTGCTGTAACTTAAATGTGTACATTGTCCAATCGGCTCCAAACTTCACTTGTCTGATAAGAGTCCTGCCCTGAACATGCCTATGTGATAATATTCAGTTATAGTGAGAGCGCCACCTAGTGGTGAAAGGAAATGTATTTTTTGTACGTTTATTTATATCTTCAAGCATATTGACCAGATCCAGCTGAAATTATGTGAGAAGTTCCTTAGGAGGATGAGGATCACATGTTATGAATCTTAAGAATTTGCATGGAACCATGTTGCCATGGCGACGCGGCAAAAATCAAAAAGATTCACACTTTTGGGGGGACTAAACATGCCTGAAAACTCATGAAACTTTGCACAGAATTCAGTGGTTCCGAACGCCGAGGTATTGTCTGTCTCTCGCTCTCTCTCTCTCTGTCTCTCTCTCTCTCTCTCTCTCTCTTACCCCAACTGGTCGAGACAGACGACCACCCACCTAGAGCCGGAAGATCTGTCCTAGGTTTCTGCCTTTTAACAGGCAGTTTTTCCTTGCCCTTGTCGCCAAGTGCTTGCTCATGGTGGTACTGTTGGGTCTCTGTAATTAATGTTTTAAAGAGTTCGGTCTAGACCTGCTCTATTTGAAAAGTGTCCTGAGATAACTTCTGTTATGAATTGGCGCTATACAAATAAAATTGAATTGAATTGAATTGTCTTGGTTCCGTGGATGGGCGTCGCAAAATGGCTTAGCCACGCCCCCCAGAGTCAGCCCCCAAGACACGTATGACTGACATGTATGAAAATTGCTACGCATGTGTATCATTATAAAAGAAGCAAAAAAGTCTCTTGGACCCATACCTCAAACCCAACAGGAAGTCGGCCATTTTGGATTTTGTGGCCATTTGCACATGTTGTATTTGAACAAACTCCTCCTAGGGCATTTATTGGACCGACTTCAGATTTGGACACAGCCCATCTAAACACATTCACCATTAAAAGTTGTCCTCTTCAGTTTTTTTCGTCAAACCTCCTGCCCGTGGCGTGGTGTCCCGTGGCATCCAATTTCGATCCTTCGCCATAAAACGAGGGATTCGTCATGACTTCTGCATACATGATCCGACTGAAACTTCACATGTCTGATAAGAGTCCCGCCCTGAACACGTCTATGTGATAATATTCTGTAATAGTGAGAGCGGCACCTAGTGGCAACAGGAAGTATCACGTTTTATATTTTAAAGTGCGTTTAGGCTAATAACTTTTGTATAGTTTGTCACACATTCAAAAAACTTATATCCACGCGTTCGGTGAATGGAGCTGAATCTCCCCATATAGGCCACGCCCATCACCCCCCATTGTTTTTTTCTGGCTAGAGCACAAAATGTCCGTAAACTACTTTTTCGTGTTCCTCCTATGTGCTTTGTCCGATTCGCACAAAATGTTGCACGTAGCATCTGGGGACCATCCTAATAATAAACTAATTGAAAGAATTTTTATATCTCTAAAAATAAGCATGTTATAAAATTAGCACCGCCTGTGGATTTTTGTTCAAAAGAGGAAGTGGAGTATTTTTCGACATTGGTATGTCCGATTGACACCAACCTTGGGGCCATAGTTCCCCATGTCTTCCTTAGCCATCATGCACAATTTCAGGCCATCGCCACTTGGTGGCGCTCTTTAAAATGAAGAACTTTGGCAACAGGAAGTATCACGTTTTATGCTTTCATGTTCTCCTCCTAGCAGGATGATCAGATCCAGCTGAAATTTACTCATAAAATGCAAAACACATTGTTGTTGATATATGTTGACTGTGGTGAGGGGGCGTGTCTGTGGCGTGGCGGGAAATTTTGATGTATCGCCACGAAACACGAATTCGCTATAACTTGAGAGTACATTGTCCAATCGGCTCCAAACTTCACTTGTCTGATAAGAGTCCCGCCCTGAACACATAGTGATAGCGCCACCTAGTGGCAACAGGAAGTAAGTGCTGCGTGGCGATTTTGAGCTGATTTACGTGACATTTTCATGTTGTGGTCCGCACTTGTTACGACGGCACGTGGCGTGGCTTGCAGCTTTAATTGCTATTATTATTTTTAATTCCAAACACTTGCTTTGGCAATATGTACAGTGTTATGTCATGCCAATAAAGCCATTTGAATTGAATTGAATTGACAGAGAGACAGAGACAGAGAGGACAGAGGTAAGGACAGAAGGACAGAGACAGAGACAAAGGATGTCATGTCATTATATACACAAAACACAACTGTAGATTGATTATTGTACAACATAAATGTACATACTGTAGAGGTATAAGCCAATAAAATAATACACAGAGGCATAACCTTAGCTCACTGGCTACTATAAACAACATGTCAATTGATTGGCTGCATCTGATGTCTGTTCAGCTCATGACAATCAAGATTATAGCACTAGTGCAAATCTGAGTGGTCAGTTATGGGCCCTGGGCTGCTGTGGGCCCCTAAGCGACTGCATATTATCTGCATATATGATAGTTGCGCTGCTGCATTTCCTTCAAAATTCATTTGGTAGCTACTGCAAATGCATGTATGCATATGTACAACAGAACCTACATGTCTACTTTACATACTCTTACATTTATTGTGTCTGTCAGGCTCATCTGAAGGTACTGCAGAAATCAGTGGATCCTGCCAAGGTGTTTTTCCGGCAGCAAATTCTTTGTAGCACTCTGGCTGGAAACTCCTGTCCAGTGGTCACCATCACTGCATGTCCTGCCAGCAGGGCCTGGAAAGACATCCACCAGCTACGTGAGTGCTGCTGTGTGTGTGTGTGTGTGTGTGTGTGTGTGTGTGTGTGTGTATAGGTGTGTGTGTATGTCTGATGAGCTGGGATAAAGGGTCAGAGTGATATAATTAGGGAGGCACCTGTTTGATAGCAAGTTGATGGAATGTGTGGGTGCAGACTATTATTGCAGTGTGTGTGTGCACAGTGCACACGTGTGTGTGAGCAGACAAAAGAAGGTGAACCAGCCAGGCATCATGACAGATACAGATATTGAATGCTTTGTTTGTTTTTCAGCACTTAATTGAAAGCCAGTGATCCTTAGCAGTTAAAAATATGAAGAAATTATTTGTTTAGGGGAAAACCATCCTAGGATATCGACATTAGCATAATATTATACTTGCTACTGTAGCTGCTATTACACACTCAGTATTTGTGCATTGCACTTATGCCATTTCACCTTTTCATATTACCACAAGCACTCCAAATGGTAAATGGATTGTACCTGTATAGCGCCTTTCTAGTCTTCTGACCATACAAAACGCTTTTACACTTAATGGCACATTCAGTCATTCACACAGTGATGGCAAAGCATCTGGAGCAATTTTGGGTTCAGTATCTTGGATATTTTAGTATCAAGGATACTTTGACATGCAGTGAGAAGAGCCAGGAATCAAACTGCCAACCTTACGATTAGTTTCCAACCCACTCTACCTCCAGCCACAGCTGCCAATGCTCCAACACAGTCCGCATTTCAGGAATTGAAAATAACTAATTAATTTCACCATAAATACTCATAACCATACAAATTGAAATAATCTAATTGACTCTTCCTAAATCCCGCATCTTTTAGCTATGTAATCCAATAACAGTTGAGCAGGCCTCAGTCAACACCACAAACTGTCCCATACAGTTACACTCTTTACCTCACAAAGTCTTTTACTGAGGTCATCAAGGAATGAAAATAGGTGCTCAGTATTGTATGTCCAGTTAGTATATGTATGCAACTGTATTACTTTTATTTCTTTGTACATGTAGGAGAAAGTAGCAAATTGCAGTAATCTTGTGAAATGTTTAAAAAGGTTTTCAATGTGAATGTAAAACAGTTTTTATCAACCCTAACCTATCACCTGCAAAACCATTGTTTTGTCATGGTACAGCGTGACTAGTGTGCACTCCTCACATAAAAATATTTAACTTAACTTTTCAGCACAGCGCTCCTCAGGGTCACACTTGGACCAGACAGCCCATCAAAATAAGCAAGAGGCGGGTTTATACAGCTTTACCACTTCTTGTTAATATGCCATTTACTATTCCCATTAATAGGTTAGCTAGCTAGTGAGCTATCTGTTTCACTGTGAGCAAGCTACAGAGCAGGTGTGTAGTGGGGGTAAACCCAAGTAACCTCAGTTATCCACCACTTTAAAATGATTCCAGAGTTTACTTATTTAGAGCTCTTTTCCTGGTAATCCTATTTAATCACCCAGTTGCGCATGCAGCCACGCAATCTTTTTTTAATTGGAACTGTGAGATTAGTAATGGTTTCGTTTTACTCGGGACCAGAATGGAGTTGTGAGCCTTGTGAAGACTTGTGCATGTTAGTGTATCATTTTTTATTCTTAAATGTTTAAATGTTTGCAGTTACCTCAACTAAACACAGGTGTCATCAACACAGGCTCAAATCTTAAAGATAACTCTAAATCACCAAAAAGAAAATCACCAAGGCAATGTGTAGCAACAATGAGTTGAGCCTGTGGTTCATCCCCAGTGAATATATCTACTGAACCAGCTGGATATTTTTCTCCACTAGCAATTAACTTTCTTTCCCTCGTAGCCCAATTTGCACTCCACATGGATTTTGTTCAGGTCACCTAATCTCATCCCAGCTGAAGGTGTTACTGTTGATCTCTAGTACTTCCAAAAAGGTTTCCAGTTGCCTTAAGGTGCAGCAGAGAGGAGATTTGACTCCATGTAAGGGCAGCTGATGTTCACTTGAACAAGGCAATTAACCTTAAAACCTTCAAACTGTGTAGTTTCACCGTGAGACTGATGGAGCAGAGAGGCTTCCAGGTATGCTTATGTATATTTGTGTTTGAGCATGTGTGTGGACTTTTTTTATCCTGAGGAGTGATGTGTGCATTTGTGTGTATGTTGAACAAACAAGCCAAACTTGAGTAGAAACAAAGCCTGCACACTAACAGCAAATCTGTTCCAGTCTTCTCCCTGTGTATGCAAATGGAATGCTAATCAGGTCTAATTACAACAAAACATGTCAATGGGTTTAAAGCAGTATCATGATTTTATCCTGTAGAGTGCACCTTACTGTATGAAAAGGTTGTACATCCACTCATTACAGTGAAAAACATGTTTGAATTTGAAGTATCATAAACTGACCGTATGTAAAGCCATTTCTGTGTCCTACTACAAGCTTTTCTTCTGAGGGGATGGATTAGACAAAGGAACCTGCTTCCTTCCTCACTCCTCTTGTCTCCAATTAAAAGCTGCTTCCAGTGCAATCACAGCTCATCTTTGAAAGCTATTAATTGTCAAACATTATCTCATTTAGCAGGACAGGCATTGCCTCTAGGTAGCTGGAGCAAGACTAGGATAGTTGCTCTGTCAAAATCTCTCTCACATCATTTTTGCAAGTGACTAGGTTTTTTCATTTGTCTTTCACACTTTGTCTTGTCTTGTCTTTTTCTGCACCTCTTCCTATGCTGAGGTAAAAATAAACTGAAAGACGCATTGAAGAATTGACTGTACCTCCTCATGCAGGAGTCTCCCATAGAAGCCTCCCAGTACATGGATCCCGATGTAGAACAGGGTGTTGAGTGTGTCTGAGTATCAAAGGCTTGCCCAGTCTGGGTTTTTAAATCTTTTTTAAAAAAAATCACTTAAATCTGAGCACAATGATATGCTCATTGCATACGCCTAGATTAGGCATTAATATAAACTTCTGTTGGTGGGACTGAGTCATTGTTTTGCAAGTCACAAGTAAGTCTAAAGTCTTTGCACTCAAATCCCAAGTCCCAAATCCTCCAAATTATCTTAGGTATCTTTTTTTCTAACTGGAATTAAGTGTCAAGTTGCTGGGAATGAATAACGTTAACGTTAGTTGATTCAGGAAATGAATTGGTTCTTGGAACACTTTTTAAATAACATATTCTTAATCTTTGTGGTTGAATCCAAATGAACTCACAGGCAGGCTTGAGGAGTAACTGATTACATCTAACAGGGTTAAGTAATCAGGATACAAGCACGTTTTTTATTACAAATTACAATACATTTTAATTTAATAAAAATGGGGACTTCACCTTTATTTTGTCAGAAAGGGGAACAATACCCAAGTACAGTGCAAGGTCTGCCTTCCAACTGTGAAAATGTCAATTTATAGCATAACGTTCATAAAGTGGTGTTCATTTGATTATCTCATTCAATAAAATGTGTATGTATCATAATCCTATGTTTACCACATAGCTTATTTTCAGCAACAATCCAAAATCCAATGGTCCCATTGCTTTTTGTCAAAGGAACCAGGGTGATGCCAACTTGCTGTGGCTCACAAAAATAAAACATCATCAATATGTAGCTCTTAGGCAGTTAGTTTCTAGCACTCAAAAGTATGTAGCACTTGTTGCTGAAAAATGGATAGAAAGACAAAACCCATGTTGTATCGGAGTCTGTTCTCCTGTTGATATGTGTAACACTATCTGAGGGGTAACAGACTTTGCCACAACAACCCGCGGCCGGGAGTGCAGAGTAGGTGCGCCTGTTGAAATGGCGGGCATTGTGGTAAATCTGTGGATCGGGCGGGTCAGGTCCTAAAAACAAACATTCTGATTAAAAGTAGATTGGTTGAGGGTGGGTGAAATAGTATGAAACACCTCTCTAATTCGGGATACTCTGAACATTCAATTTCCAATTCAATTCAATTTTATTTGTATAGCTCCAATTCATAACAGAAGTTATCTCAGGACCCTTTTCAAATAGAGCAGGTCTAGACTTAACTCCTTATAACATTATTTACAGAGACCCAACAGTACCATCATGAGCAAGCACTTGGCAACGGCGGCAATGAAAAACTGCCTTTTAACAGGCAGCAACCTAGGACAGACCCTTCGGCTCTATAGGTAGATGGTCGGCTGCCTCGACCAGTTGGGGTAAGAGAAAGAGAGACAGACAGACAGACAGACAGACAGACAGAGGTGCACAGCAACAACAGTAGCAACAACTAATAGTAGTGACTGATGATGATGAACATGAAAAAGATGATTGCGACGACAACAATGATGGGGGACAATGACCAGTGATTATAGTAATAATATTAACTGTAGTAATAATACTAGTAATAATAATAATAACAATAATATCAGTAATATTAGCAATGGCAGTCAAGCAGGACCATGGCAGGAAGCTCCACCAGGAATCCATGAGAACCTGCGAGATGAGAAAGCACAAGAACTCCGGGGAAGAAGTGAAGTTAGTAACATGCATTAATGGGACATGAATGAGTGCAGAAAGAGAGAGGAAGAGAGGAGCACATCGATCATGGGAAAACCCCCAGATAGTATAGGCCTATAGCAGCATAACTAAGGGATGGTTCAGGGCTCACCTGAGCCAGCCCTAGCTATAAGCTTTATCAAAGAGAAACATTTTAAGCCTACTCTTAAATGTGGAGAGGGTGTCTGCCTCCCGAACCACAACTGGAAGCTGGTTCCACAGGAGAGGAGCTTGGTAACTGAAGGCTCTGGCTCCTGTTCTACTTTTAGAGACTATAGGAACCACAAGTAGCCCAGCATTCAGAGAATGCAATGTTCTGGAGGGGTAACAGGGTGCTATAAGCTCTTTAAGATATGTAGAGAAAAGAAATTTTAAAGGGAGCCAGTGCAGAGAAGATAGTACAGGAGAGATGTGATCTCTTTTGCTAGTTTCTGTCAGTACTCGTGCTGCAGTGTTCTGAATTACTTGGAGCTTCTTAATGGACTTATTGGGGCAACCTGATAATAAGGAGTTGCAGTAATCCACAAATGCATGGATTAGTTTTTCTGCATCCGTCTGTGACAGGATGTGTCTAATTTTTGTAATATTACGTAATTGAAAGAAGGCAGTCCTAGATGTTTGCTTTATATGGGAATTAAATGACATGTCCTGATAACTCCAAGATTCCTGACAGTGGTGCTAGAGGCCAAGGTAATGCCATCTAGAGTAACTATATCTGTAGACAGTGAGTCTCCGAGGTTTTTTGGGCCAAGTACAAGAATTTTGTTTTTTTCTGAGTTTAACATCAGAAAATAGCAGCTCATCCAGGTTTTTAATTTCCTTAAGACATGTTTGTAATTTAGGTAATTGATTAATTTCATCGGGCTTGATCGATAGATATAACTGTGTATCATCTGCATAGCAATGAAAGTTAATGGAGTGATTCCTAATAATGTTGCCTAAAGGAAGCATATATCAAGTAAATAGTATTGGTCCAAGTACAGAACCTTGTGGAACTCCATGACTAACTGTTGTATTTATGGAGATTCATCGTTAACGTGTACAAACTGAGAATGATCTGATAAGTATGACCTTAACCAGCTTAGTGCGGTTCCTTTAATGCCAATTTGATGCTCAAGTCTCTGTAAAAGAATATCATGGTCAGTGGTGTCAAATGCAGCACTAAGATCTAATAATACAAGTACAGAGACAAGTCCATTGTCGGAAGCAATCAAAAGGTCATTATTAACTTTAACCAGAGCTGTGATGAACTCTAAATCCTGACTGAAAATCATCAAATAAGCCGTTGTTATGTAGAAAGTCACTCAACTGTTTGGCGACTACTTTCTCCAGAATCTTAGAGAGGAAGGGAAGGTTAGAAATCGGCCTATAGTTGCCTAAAACCCCTGGGTCAAGAGTGGGCTTTTTAAGAAGGGGTTTAATTACAGATACTTTAAAAGACTGTGGTACATATCATGACAATAAAGAAAGATTGATCATATCTAGTAAAGAAGTTTAGAATTATTTTCTTCTATTAGTGTTGAGTAATAGGTTCCTCTGGCTTTACGGAGGGCCTTTCTATAGGTTTTAAGACTATCTTGCCAAATTGAGCGATATTCTAATAATTGTTGATCGTAGTGAGCCTGCAGCACTATTAACAAGATTACCAATTTGGGAGGGACTAAAGTTATTATAGGACTCTGTTATATTCAGACATGGCATTGAATTAAACACTGAAGGAATCTCCTCCTTAAATCTTGCTACAGCACTGTCAGATAGACATCTGCTGTAGGAAGTTTTGCCTAATGGCTCATAATCTAGTAATATGAATTCAAAAGTTATTAAATAATGGTCAGATAGGAAAGGATTTTGTAGGAAGATTATTAAATGTTCAATATCAATGCCATATGATAGAACGAGGTCAAGAGTGTGATTAAAACAATGAGTTGGTTTATTTACACTCTGACAGAAGCCAATTGAGTCTATTAGTGAGATAAATGCGTTACTAAGGCTGTCATTGTTAACATACACATGAATATTAAAATCACCTACAATAATTACTTTAAATGTTTTACGGACTAAACTTGATAAAAACTCTGAGAATTCAGATAGAAAATCAGAGTAGTGGCCAGGAGTGCGGTACACTATAACATACAGAACTGGCTGCAGTGTTTTCCAGGTTGGGTGAGAAAGACTAAGAATGAGAGTTTCAAATGAATTATAATTTGGTTTAGGGTAAATTAAAACGCTCGAATCAAAATAAAACGCTGGAATAAATTGCTCCTGATGCTGTGCATCGGTGTGAATGTGTATGAATGCGTTAGTTTCTGTTCAATGGCCTTTGCCATCACTGAGTGAATTTGTGTGAAAGGGTGAATGTGGCACGTAGTGTAAAAGTGCTTTGAGTGGTTGGAAGACTAGAAAGGCGCTATCCAAGTACATGTCCATTTACTGTTTACCATTTACCATCGTGAAGTGAAGTGTTGGGAAAAAAATCTAAAAAGTTAAAGGTGCTATATATGACTTTCAGAATTGTAGTTGCACTGGAGCACCAGCATCTCAGACCTAAACAAATAAGACTCCAGACTCCACTGGAAAAAAATATTAATTTTGAATAAAAAAAATAAAAATAAAATACACAAAACTCACTTAAACCATGTTTCTAAGTCTTCCCACTGTTCAAACAAAAATCACGAACTCTGGTTTGGCCAAAATTAACTCTTAATTCAGAGTTAGATTTGAAAATATTCACAAAAAAGTCTGCTATGGCTGCCAAGTAACATTGAGAAACAAGTACGTCCACTAAAAGTGCTTCTTTCTAGCACTGACAGGCTTAGATTATTCTGTGTCTGACAACATTATGGAAAATATCCCTACAGAGATAGACCTTTTTAACCAGAAACAGCTGTAATATCACTATCGCTCGCCACCAGATTCCATAGACTAAACACTCATTCAACCTCACAGATAATCATAAACCACACATTATTATAACTCCCTGTAAACAAAATTAAACTTGCCAAAGCTGTCTTTGTTAGTATTTCCACTGTTCCAACAACAATCACAAAGTTTGGTAAAAATAAATCCTTAATTCACAGAGGTAGATGAGAAGTACAGCAGTCTCTCCTATTGCAATACAATATTAATTTTAAACTCTGATAAATTAACTGAGACAGACCATTTTTTTATCCACATGCTGTTCATCTGCACAGCAGCTGACTGTCATTGAGCTCAAACAACCCTGAATGATGACTCTTTCCCATCTGTTCACATGCTATCTGTATACCATTCACACTGTTATCACAGACACAGACACAAACACAAATATTAATTACTACCCTTGCAATACAATTATCACTTATGACCTCTGGTATCTGACATAATTGGCCAGCTGTCACTATGAGTGACTGAGCTTTACATACTGTTGTGATGGGTATAGAGTACACACTTTTAATTACAGGCCTGATCTGGATAATTGAAAGATGCCTGGCACCCAGGGAGCAGAGGAAATGTAGGCAAATATAGATGAAGCTTTATACTGAGTGGTGATTGACAAGGAATCATTGAGTTTAGAATTCAATTCAATTCAATTCAATTTTATTTTTATAGCGCCAATTCATAACAGAAGTTATCCCAGGACACTTTTCAAATAGAGCAGGTCTAGACCGAACTCCTTATAACATTATTTACAGAGGCCCAACAGTACCACCATGAGCAAGCACTTGGCGACGGGGGCAAGGAAAAACTGCCTGTTAAAAGGCAGAAACCTAGGACAGACCCTTCGGCTCTAGGTGGGTGGTCGTCTGCCCGACGAAACACTAGGAGAAACATTAGAAACACTCCAGGTACTTGAATTTCACAGGTAAGATCCCAGCTAGTAAGTAACTGAGCAAAAAGCTGCAGCTCAACTGTCCACATGCTGTATTATATCAACAGCTCTGTCTCTCTATCTGTCTCTGTCCAGGTAATCGCCCCTGTATCGTGCTAACAGGCCGTGTCCATCCTGGTGAGTCCAATGCCAGTTGGGTGATGAAGGGCACACTGGAGTTTCTCTGTAGCCAGGACCTGGTGGCCCAGGGTCTAAGGGAGGCCTTTGTCTTCAAGCTCATCCCCATGCTCAATCCAGATGGAGTCATCAATGGCATGTGAGTGGGAGGCACAAACAGTGCTCAATGCAGGACTCCACACCTCTCCCAAAACTGCAGCAAAGAACCCTTAGCAAACCAGTTCACATAATACCGATTAAGCCTCTCTGTATTTGTGGTCTGTCTCGACTTTCCTGCCATGCAGCACCAGTATTTATGTGTTTTACGTCAACCAGCAATACTGGTGTTTTTCACCAAAACAGGGAAATCTACTCATCAGTGGAAGCGGCCAAGTCCATCCTGAGAGGGTGCTTGAAGTGCTATTGACCTTTTTGTCAATAGCCATTTTGACATGAGATAGTAAGGTAAACACAGGTTCGATTCCATTCAGGTCCAACAGAGTCAGGGTGCTTCTATTGTGCATGTTGCACCAATGGCTGTTGAGGGGGTGTCCAGAAAACGATGTGGGCTTCATTGATAATTGGCAGATTTTCTGGGTCTCGTTACTTGGATGGCTCTCTTATCTAGGAATATACCTGACAACCCAGAATCGAGACCAGGAAGCAGAGCTGCAGTCTTACACGGTTGTCTGTGCTTCCAATAGAAGTCACCCACCCAAAACCTCACAGACTGTGTCTGTCCCCTCACCACCTAGATTATTTAAAGAGAAAGTTAAACATAAAAACCTAAAAAATAAAAATAAAATAATTAAACATGGACTATTCAATTCAATTCAATTCAATTCTATTTGTATAGCGCCAATTCATAACAGAAGTTATCTCAGGACACTTTTCAAATAGAGTAGGTCTAGACCGAACTCTTTTTTACCGAACATTATTTACAGAGACCCAACAGTACCACCATGAGCAAGCACTTGGCGACAAGGGCAAGGAAAAACTGCCTGTTAAAGGGCAGAAACCTAGGACAGATCCTTCGGCTCTAGGTGGGTGGTCGTCTGCCTCGACCAGTTGGGGTGAAAGAGAGAGAGAGAGAGAGAGAGAGAGAGACAGACAGACAGACAGACGGAGGCACAGCAACAACAGTATTGGCAATGGCAATCTAGCAGGACCATGGCAGGAGGCTCCACCAGGATCGATAAGAACCTGCGAGACGAGAAAGCACAAGAACTCCGGGGAAGAAGTGAAGTTAGTAACATGCATTAATGGGACATGAATGAGTGCAGAAAGAGAGAGGAAGAGAGGAGCTCAGTGCACCATGGGAAATCCCCCGATAGTCTAGGCCTATAGCAGCATAACTAAGGGATGGTTCAGGACTCACCTGATCCAGCCCTAACTATAAGCTTTATCAAAGAGGAATGTCTTAAGCCTACTCTTGAATGTGGTGAGGGTGTCTGCCTCCCGAACCACAACTGGAAGCTGGTTCATCTGCACAGCAGTTAAATGGTGATGGTTAAACATCGGGTCTCTGTCGTCTAAAGCTGTTCTAGTTAATGAGTTAATATCAGATGGTGATATTGATTTACTTTGTCTTACTGAGACCTGGCTGTGCCATAAATGAATCCACTCCCCCCAGTCATATTAATACTCACATTCCTCAAGGCACCGGCCAAGGAGGTGGGGTAACAGCCATATACAATTCAAGCCTTTTGATTAATTCTAAACTGAAACCCGGCCTAGAAAACACTGCAGCCAATACTATTTGTTATAGAGAACGGCGCTCCTGGCCTGTACACTTCTCAGTGTTCTCAGTTTTTATGAAGTTTAGTCCTTCAAACAGATAAAGTATTTATTGTAGGTGATTTTAATATTCATATGGATGTTGATAATGTTAATCTTAGTAATGTGTTTATTTCAATATTAGACTCAATTGGCTTTTGTCAGAGTTTAAACATATCCACCCATCATATGGCATTGAAATTGAACATTTAATAGTCTTCCCACATAATCCTTTTTTCTCTGACCATAATTTAATATCCCTGGAATTCCTATTACTAGACTACAAGCCATTAGGCAAAACTTGTCTATCTGATAGTGCTGTAGCTAAATTTAAGGAGGAGATTCCATCTGTATTTAATTCAATGCCATGTCTCAATATAACAGGACTCCTATATTAACCTTATTCCCTTCCGAATTGATCATCTTGCCAATAGGGCTGCAGGCTCACTGTGAACAACACTAGACTCTATTGCCTCTCTAAAAAAATATATTAAAACATAGGAGGCTAGGACCATGGTATAATCACCAAACCTCCTAATTAAAGCAAGAAGCGTGGAAATTTGAAAGGAAACTGGTCTACCAAGCTGGTAGAATCATGTTCAATCTGGCAAGATATTCTTAAAACATATAAAAAGGCCCTCCGTAATGCCAGAGCATCCTATTATTAAACATTAATAAAAAGAATGAAAGAAAGAACGACCCCAGGTTCCTCAGCGTTGTAGCCAGGCTGACAGAGAGTCATAGCTCTATTGAATCATGTATTCCTATAGCACTCAATGGCAATGACTTCATGTGCTTCCTTAATGATAAAATTATTACTATTAGAGACAAAATTGATCACTGCCTGCCCACAACAGGTAACGATATCTCTTCAAATACAGGAATCTTAACAGCTGTAAACCCAGATATTTTTTAGACTGCTTTTCTGCTGTCAATCTACATCAATTAACTTCAGTAATTTCTTCATTGAAGCCATCAACCTGTCTCTTGGATCCGGCACTTCTTTGCTAGATACGATCAATCTTTATTTTCAGGCTATGTACCACAGTCCTTTAAAATAAGTAAATAAATCCCTTCTTAAAAAGCCCACTCTTGACCCAGGGAATATAGCCAACTCTAGACCTATTTCTAACCTCTTTTTTTCTGTCTAAGATTCTTGAGAAAGTAGTTGCCAAACACTTGTGTGACTTTCTACATAACAGCTTATTTGAGGATTTTCAGTCAGGATTTAGAGTACATCACAGCATTTTACAGATGATACCCAGTTATATCTATCGATCAAGCCTGATGAAATGAATCAATTAGGTAACGTACAAGCATGCCTTAAGGACATAAATACCTGGATGTACTGCAGTTTTCTGATCTGAATCTTGGAGTTATCTCTGATCAGAATATGTCCTTCAATTCCCACCTAAAGCAAACTTCTAGGACTGCCTTTTTTCGCTTACATAAAATTGCAAAAATCCGACACATCCTGTCACAGACGGATGCAGAAAAACTAGTCCATGCATTTGTTACTTCTAGGCTGCATTACTGCAATTCCTCATTATCAGGCTTCCCGAATAAGTCCATTAAGACGCTCCAATTAATTCAGAACGCTGCAGCACGAGTACTGACAGGAACTAGGAAAAGAGATCATATCTCTGCTGTATTAGCTTCTCTGCACTGGCTCCCTGTCAATTAAGGGTAAGACTTCTTTAAACAGCCTAGTTCTAGGGTCTAGGGCCTAGGGTCTAACAGACAGATTGGGCATTCTGCAGCACAATTTCTGTCAGGAACTAGGCAAAGAGATCATTTTTCTGTATTTGTTTCTCTGCAATCTCTGTAAAATTCAGAATACAATTTAAAATCCTCCTTCTCACCTACAAAGCTCTTCTTGATTAGGCACCTTCATATCTAAAGAAGAGCTAAAAGTACCCTCTTACCCCACTTGAACATGCGCTCTCTGACTGCAGGACTACTTGTGGTTCCTATAGTCTCCAAAAGTAGAACAGAAGCCAGAGCCTTCAGCTACCAAGCTCCTCCTGTGGAACCAGGTTCCAGTTTCTGTTCGGGAAGCAAGAAACAGTCTCCACATTTAAGAGTAGGCTTAAGACGTTTCTTAACGTGAGTCAAGGTGAGTCCTGAACCATCCCTCAGTTATGCTGCCGGGGGACTTCCCATGATGCACTGAGCTCCTCTCTTCCTCTCCCTCTCTTTCTGCACACATTTCTTGGTGTTAGTTACACAAGACTGCACAGAGGGAAAATGTCCCTTGTCAAGCTTGTAAGTAGGCACATTTGTTGGGGTCACATTGATGCATGTCTTTCAGAGTTTCAGACGTATGTACAAATGTCAATTATGAGTCTTGTTTCTCAGGAATAAAGGTGGAACAACCGAAATGCAATTTGTACCAGAGTGGTAGTTTTCATGTCTGTGACATATTCTACCGATATATAGACAATGAAACTGTAATGAAAAGCAAATATATGTTGCTGGTATGATGATGATATGACTATGAACAGATCCTTTTCACTGTTTATATTTGCTGGGAACCACAGGGCTCACACATTAAGTAGGTGAGACCTCGACTCTCTAGTGAACATTGCTGCAGCAGCGCATATGTGCAGCTCAGTACGATGGACGTACTTGCTGAAAATAACTTGTCAATCATAAGGTAGCCACGCCCTAAAGCATACCCTGCTTTATCGTCTATTTTGCTCTAAATGGGACAATCGTTTACTAAAGGAACATCATGCCGTATGGAAGAAAACTGAAACTAGAGACTGAGACCAAAAACTCATTAGGAAACTGTTTGCTGAGCTAATACATCAAGTGATTCAGTGATTTTTTTTCATTTGTCCAGATTTTGAGATATATGTCTTTTTACGGATTTGGATATTTTTTAAATTTTTTTTAATTTATTGGTTTATTTTAGGGACAGTGTACATTAATTAAACATTCCTGTAAATGCACCAGAGTTAGCCAGAAGGCTATTTTCCATCTGTTGTCCCTGGTACAGATGTTCTAAGTCAACCTAAAAGTAAACTACAATACATGTACAATGTTAAAATAGAAAACAAAATTATCACAATAAAGACAATGGATTAATATACAATAGTTGAACATCACACAAGTGATTAGTTAAGACAGAGACTTAAAACACACACTCACTCACTCACTCTCTCTCTCTCTCTCTCTCTCACACACTCACACACACTCACACACGCACACACAGACACACACACAGCAAGGTGGCAAAATGGAAGCAGGTGGCAGCAAGGGAAGTCACGCACTAAGTGCGATATAATCACTAAGCCTAAATGTTTTAATGGTCACACATCTGATTGTGTATGAACCATTTTTTCAGGTAGAATTTAAAAGACGGATGTGAGTCCAATTCCCTAATGTGAGCTGAACTGGTGTTCCATTCTTGTGCTGCTTTGTGTGAGAATGTGGATTGACCAAACTGACTTTTCCTGAGTGGGATGATGCAGTCCCCTCTTGCAGCACCTCTTGTTGAGTGATATGCAGATGTTCGAACTTGTACAAATTTTTTGAGTGGAGGGGATGTCAGATTGTTGATGACTTTGTACATTAAACACATATTTGCATATTTTATAATGTTATCCCTATATGTGGGCAAACCAACCCTTAAAATGATTTTCAGCGGTCCATCGTCATGCTGTGTCTAGACATGTCATCCTGTTTCAGCTAGAGAAAAAAATAATAAATACATGGGGCATGGACATGGCACGTCACATAGACAGTTTTTTATATTGAGCAGCTTCAGTTGATTATAATGGATGCGCTCTACTGCAGGCATGCTGCAGCAGACTTAGTGTAAGACTTGACATGAACAATGTACCATCCAAATGCTCTTGAAGCAACCTAAATGTATGTCTGTCTTTCTCCCTGAACATTCCCTTATTTTATTCTGTGGGTGTGTGTATGTGTGTGATGTAAGTTTTGCAGCACAACTCTGACATTTCACAGGAATTAAGTTGGACACCGCAGGGATTTACTCATCGTGCTGTCAGGTTTCTCCCCCACTCTCTTTTCTTCTCAATTCTCTGAGCTTGAAATTGGTGTGAAATTGGAACAATATTGCCAAAGCATCAACACAGCTTTTTACTTTAAACCCCATTCCCTGGTTGGTTTGTGCGCATTTTGGGTCCTCAAAGTAATATGAAACATTTGAGGTTCCCTCATCAATTTTAGCTGAGTACGTGTCTTTTTATGTTGTGATTCAGTTTCTGGTGTTTCTAGGTTTTATAATTAGAAAATACAGACAGCAGAGAAATTGCTCCCACAAATTTGCCTTTTAGGCCACATTTGTATTTAAAGTCAGTGTGGATCAGGAGGATCTATTGTCAGAAATGGGATATAATACTCATAGGTATTTTTGTAGGGTCTAAGGGGACCTTTAAACATAAACTCGTTCATTTGGTGTGGCTCTATTGTGACGGGTCACTTCTTGTCACCTCATCCAGTCACATCCTGTGACTGTTACCCGATGCAACTTCATGACATGTGTTGTCCAGGTGATTAAACTCCTGACACACCGTCATTCTCTTTTTTCTCTTTACCCCACTCTCTCGCTAACCTCACTCGCCCACACCAGGTGATAAGCTCTCGCCCAGCCTGCCAACAAACAAAGCACAACAAAGTATTAAAGCACGGCACAAGAGCCTATCTTTTACTGTGATCCCTGGTTAGCCCACCGCTAACGGGATTCAACATCTGCAGCTTTTAACGAAAAGTCTGCCAGTTGATTTTACTGGAGCAACGCAAAGTTTACGCATCGCTGACATTGGACATCGCACTCACACAGCAGTGACGTTTGGACTTTGGAACCACATCTCTTTTCAGCCTGGCTCACAGGACTGCCAGCTGATTGTCACCGTCAACTCTCCTTCCTCCCTCCTTTGGACCGTTGGTAACATACTGGCCGGCCCGGCCCTAACCAATTTGGCGCCCTAGGTAAGATTTTAGGTGGCGCCCCTCTTGCATCGCAGTAAATTGCACACCTCCCTGCCCTTCCATGTGCATACATGGAAAAGTTTAAGACAAGGAGAGCGGCAGCAGAGACCCCCCAGGGTACAGAACAGAGCAAGCATCAATGGCAATCAGAAAATGACATTGATTAATTAGAAACAACATAAAAAGGAGGAGCTGGGGTGGAGGTGGGTGCAAAAAGGCTTGTAGAGGAGCAGCAGAGATAGGCAGGCAGGCTAAAGCA